ACTAAACTGTTTTGATTACTATGGCTTTATAGTAGAGTTTGAAATTTGGTATTGATATTCCTCCAGCAGTGTTCTTTCCGTTGAGGAGCGTTTTTGCTATTCGGGGTGTTTTATTGTTTCATATGAATTTTTTGAGGTAGGGCCAACCTGGGCTGTAGGCCTCCCGTGTATCCTTCCTTTCTGAGCTTCATGACAGGCCTGTGGTGAGCTGCCTCCCTGTCTAGTGCCCCAGGCAGCCTCCTTTGTGTTGGGATTGCAGGCATGGGCCTCTACACCCAGCCACAGGAATGTTTGTGTTTTGTTTTGGTAGTACTAGCCAAATGTTCTACTGTTGGAGCCATACCCCTACCTGGTTTTTTTTTTTAAGGAAAATGTTCATTTCTTTTAGCCAAATTTCACTTCATGCTGTCCAACAAACTCTACAAACTGTCTAGATATGTTTTAAGGCCACCATTTGTATGTTTTGGTGAAGACTATTTTAATATCTTTAAAGGTCCTGGCCTGGAGTTAGGTGTATTTAGGAACTATCAACTTAGGGTATGGAAAAGAAGCATTTTCTGCTTTACATGTTATAAAAGCATTTTGTGGAAAAATTATGTTTTAGACATTCAAATTTCATGTTTTTCCTTCCATTTTCCTTCCATCTATTTACATTTTGCTTGTATATATAAATTATTTTAAGAGAGTATTCGAAATGCTCAAAACCACTGCACTTAACTACTAAAGCCTGAAAAATCCTCATTAGCTTATCAGTTTTCTTTTGTTTTGTTGTTCGTTTTTGTATCTGTGCTAGGTCTTGATCTCAGGGCCTAGGCACTGTCCCTTAGCTTTTCCCCTTAAGCCTGGAGCTGTACCACTTGAACCACAGCTCTACTTTCTGCCTTTTGGCTGCTAATTGGAGATAAGAGTCTTGCAGACTTTCCTGCCTGAGCTGGCTTTAAACCAGGACCCTCAGACTTCAGCCTCCTGAGTAGCTGGGATTATAGGTGTTAGTCCCCACTCCTGGCCACGTCAGGTTATTTGTGACAGAGGTGTGATGTATTCTCACACACTGGTGTTCTCTAATCAGAGGAAGCCCTGACAGGCAGCAGCCATCATGGGTGGGGTGGGAGCTAGGGCTGGAAATGGATCTCATTCCTCTAACTCCTCCCTTTGGATTTTAGTGCTCAGAGCAGGCAGAATTTGGAAATCCTGTTGCATCATCCGTAATGGCTCATGCTGGCAAGAGTCCTCCAAATCTGCTGAAGCAGGAACTGAGAAACCTGTGCCACTGTGTGCCAGAGCAGGTATGCGGGCTGAGAGACCAGGTGTGCCGATTCTCAGACCGGGTGTGTGGGCCCTCAGAGCAGGCATGCAGGCTATAAGAACAGGTGTGAGGGCTGTAAGAGCAGGTAAGTGGGCCCTTAGAGCAGGCATGGGTGCGGGCCTTGCTCCACACTGAGTCAGATGCCTTCCCTGGCTGCCTTGTCCTTTGGTACAAGGGGAATCAGATCCTATGTCTCCTATGTCCAGTGGTCATAGCAAGGCAGATGGAGATGAGGTTTTTGGACTTTTACTGGGATAATTGGATTCTGGGTATGTGTGTGTGTACCCCTACTACGGCTTGAACTCAGAGCCTGGGCATAGTCTCTTAGCCTTTCTACTCAAGGCTGGTGCTTTACCACCTGAGCCAAACATTTACTGGGATGTTGTCAGCCTATCAGACCTAGATTTGCCGAATCTGAATAGAATGAACAGGGAGGAGCTGCAACACATGAAGAACACCTGTGCAGTGTTTCTTTTTTGCATGATGATTCTGCGTCCAGAGTCCTCAACTTCCCAGCCAGCCATGTCTCTTTCTCATAGCGTATGTGTGTGGGTATGTATGTATGTAGGTAGATAGGTGTGTGTGTATATTTGTGTATGCGTGAATGTGTGTATGTGTATATATGTGATGTATGTGTAGGTTGTGTAGGTGTATGTATGTATGTATACATGTCCGTATGTATGTATATATGTATGTGTTTGTGTGTGTATTTGTGTGTGTGGGGGCTTCAGATTCCTTCACTGGCACCCATGCGGTTCCTCTATTGAGCAGCACCAGAGAGCACTCTTCTCCCTAAGTTTGAACACAGGTGAGGGGAAGCCAGGTCTACTGAGGGAAGTAGCCTGAAGGAGAAATGCTGATAGTGTTGGAGGACTCAAGGGTCTCGGGCGTGTGCCCAGGGGAGGGAAGCTCAGAGGATGGAGGTTTGCAGCCAAGAGGGTGGAGCTCTAGCTTCATGTATGACTGCATATCGGGCCTCAGAACAAGGCAACACAACGTTTGCTAATATTGACATTCATCTCTACTCAGGGAGAAGCAGGATTGCCAGCACCTACGGGTTCACCTGGGCAGAAAGGGGAGAAAGGAGAGCCGGTAAGTGCGGCCGTGCCCTCTGGGGACCAAGGGTTTGTTCACACCTGACTTAAAATTGGGGCCCTCTTTCCTATGTTCCATATATATGCCTGTCTTCAAGATGATATTAAGATGCCCCTGCCCACCACTGAAGAACAAAAGAGTAAATTGTTCATTCTCCTTTCTTCTGTGCGCATACTGAAAGGCTTACTTGACCTATGAAAAGATCTAGAACTTTCAGCAAGCATATTGCTTGCTTTCTAAGCCATCCTGAAGGAGGCCTCTTGGGGTGGGTTTGGTTTTATAAGTGACTTGATAGAAAAAAAAAAAAAGGTTTCTCCACTTGTGAGCTGTCCAGTGCTCGAGCACCAGGGTCCCGAGTGCTTGGTGCTGTACCATGACCATCAGGTATTGACTGGCAGCATCTTTTGTCAGAGGAGTTTTGAATCTTGAACTCAATTTGCTCTCAGTATCTGACCCCTTATGCATAGAGTATGCTAGCATTTGAAAATTTCTCCCAGTGTTAAATTCAGAGGAGTGAATTTATCAGGGGCTGAGATCTGAGGGATCACAGTTTGAAGCCATCCTGGATAGGAAGACTCTTATCTCCATCTAACCAGCAAAAAAAAGCCACAAAATGGAGCATCAGCCTTGAACAAATAAAGCTCAGGAACAATGCCCAGGCCCTGAGTTCAAGCCCCAGGACTGGCAGAAAAAATAATTACTATTCCACTTCTATAGCATTTGTATTGCTGCCTGACATATGATTATGATGCATCTATGTACCTTCCCAGCACTGATGTGACTTGGATAAGTTCCACACAGAGAACAACATAAATAGGATCTAAAAATATATTGAAAGACTGAATGAATGCTATACCTACAGGAAAGTCTTAAGTCATTAAGTCAGCTGTTTCTAGAGACCATAAGTTTTATTTCCCCGTTGCTTCGGAGATTTTTCACAGGACAGAATTACTTTTGGGCATTTACCCAAGTGATCACAAACAAGACCATACTAAAGCTACCAGCACAACTATGTTTATTGCAGCATTATTTACCATAGCTAAGATATGGGACCAACCCTCAGTAGATGAATGGATCAAGAAAATGTGGTATATATACACAATGGAATTCTCTGCCTCCATCAGAAAGAATGACATTGCCCCATTTGTTAGGAAATGGAAAGACTTGGAAAAAATTATATTAAGTGAAGTAAGCCGGGCCCAAAGAAACATAGTTCCCATGGTTTCCCTTATTTGAAATTACTAGTATATGTCTGAGACAAGAAGAAAAGGTTAGATAAGTTAATGTTAGGTGAAATGAACCCCAAGATATGTATTCAAATGTTTTTTCTTTCATGCAGTTGTTTCCAATATATTTATAAGATGATTTCTTTGTTGCTTTGTATGTCCCTCCTCCACAGTATAACCCCTACTTTCACTGTATTTGATTTTGGTATAATTTGTGGAGGGGAAGGGAAAAACAAATCGTTTAAATAGGGATACAGGTGGACCCATTGGAACAATGAGATGTACAAGACGTTATGTCGAAAAACTAACTTTAACCTTGGCGGCGGGGTTGGGGGGCGCGGTTGGTGTAATGGGGTAGTGGGGGGGGAGATGGGAAGAGGAAACAAAGGAGGAGGCAACAACACTTGATAAGAAATGTACTCATTATCTTGCCCATGTAATTGTAACCCCTCTGTACAGTATTTTCACAATAAAAAAAGAAAAGAATTACTTTGCAAGGAAAAGCTATGATTTTTCCCTTTGAAAAACAAAAAAACCTTACATGGTGATCTGACCACTTATATGCTGGTTAGATCATGAAGATTTAGAACTATCCAGAAGCAATGCCAGCCAGGCACTGGTGGCTCCTGTCTGTAATCCTAGCTGCTCAGGAGACTCAGACCTGAGGATCAAGGTTTGAAGCCACTTTGGGCAAGGGGGCTCCCATGACTCTTATCTTCAATTAACCAGCAAAAAGCTGGAAGTGGAGGTATGGTTCAAGTGGTAGAGTGACAGCCTTGCATAGAGCATGAGACCCTGAGTTGAGGCCCTAATATTGGCAGGGGAAAAAGTATCCCCAAGTGTTGATTATTTATTATTTGCTTACTTTTTCGTATACACTGTGATAATTTATTAGTATGATTTTCTGATTTTGTTCTTTTTTATATAAAACTGATGACTGTTTGTCATGGAGTCAAATCACTATGTGCCTTTAAACACACAGCTGTGACACAGTCTCCATCAGGACTCCTAATCAATTTACTATAGTCCTATTTTCTGCCCAAGACTAAACTCTGTGGCATTATTTGAAATAATAACAAATACTTTTTTCATCCAGACTCAATTATTATTGTTTTCTGAATCTTTAAATTCCTTTGCTGGCAAATACAGTTAGCAGCTTAATTATTTAGCAACCACATTATGTTGTATTTCTTAAAAACTTATTAATAATGTCATCCATTCCAGAGTTGAAATTCTCTGATTTTAAGTATCAGCTAAGTTTTAATATTCCTGCATGTAAGGGAGAAGCACTATTAGCATCTCCAGTTAATTCCCCCAAATGCGTTGGCTTTATGAAATAATTGATTTGCTGATATACTTTGAGAGAAAACGAAAACACTAAAATTTATTACCTTGTGGACAGACAAGTTGCCTTCTTTCCATTCTCCCACCTGTCAACTGTGAGGGGTGTCTAGCATAGGTGAATGTACTAACCCGGGAACTGCTCATGGTTTTCCCTTATTTTCTTCTCTACCTGACAGTAGTCATCGGCCACTTTTCAGCCACATCACACTCATAGAAATTAAAATGTGGCCCCATTTGCTCAAGTAACAGGTGCCTGCTGAACTTGCAGAGCAGGGACCAGTGAGTGCGCTTCTGGCATCTATATGTAGGCAAATGCAAGGATAGGAAAAGTCTCTTCACCCTTTTTCCTTCCAACTACATTTGTGTGATTGGTTGGCAGGTCTTTTAATCCAATCTGATCTACAGGATTTGAAGGTGAAATTTACTTGTGTATCTTAAATCTGAAATTAATGAACCATGTTATGTTAAGGATGTATTGTAGGCTCATACAATTTTATTTCTTAATCTCTGCCTGGCATAGGGAAGAGCAATTCATTCCAAATGTTTGTGGAAATGTTTCCGCTTATCTCTCAGCTAACCAGGCAGCCAACCAGGCAGCCGTGGCGACCCATGGCTTCATTGTGGAGATCTTTTGTCTTTCGTGGCAGTGTAGACAGGAGAGAAGGTGAGGCGTGGGCCAGCCACAGGACAGTCAGGTACACTAAAAGGCTACTGATAACATGGTGCTTTACAGGCTAAGGGTATGCGATGTTTAGGAATTGAGAGATTAATTGAAAGGCCAATCAAGTAATAGTAGAATCATCCTTCATTGTTGATAACATAAAAGAAATGACCAAGTGGAAGGACATGTGTTTATATGTACATGAGTTCTAGTTTTTAAGTTCTTATTTCATTCAACTAGATGTTGACAATTGGTGTTTAATAATTCATTGTCATAAGTCTAATGACTGGTAGAGAATATGAGGAAAAAACCTGAAGTATAGACTTTGATGTAAGAAAACATAATTCATGTACAAAGTTACATTTTTGCCCAGTACTATAGCTTAAACTTGGGGCTGGGTCACTACCCAAGGTGCTTTCTTGCTCAAGGCTAGTTCTCTACTACTTGAGCCACATCTTCATTTCCATCTTTGTGGTAGTTAACTAGAACTAAGAGTCTCAAGGACTTTTCTTCTTGGGCTGACTTCAAACTGTGATCCTCAACTCTCAGCCTCCTGAGCAGCTAGGATTACAGACATGAACCACTAGTTCCCAGTGAGAGATCTCAACTTTAGCATTTTGTAGACATCTCAAAAACTCTCATGAGGCAGGTACTGCTGCTGCTCACACCTATAACCTTAACTACTCCAGAGGATTCCAGGTCAAAGCCAGTCTGAGCAGAAACATCCATGAGCCATCTCCTAAGTAAGCAGCCTGCCATCAAGTTGCTCAAGTACAAGAGTGCCTTCTGGGCAAGCAAGCTGGCAAGTGCAAGGCCCTGAGCTCAGATCCCATGTTAGACAAACAAACATCATCATAAGAAAATCTCCAACGGACAATTTATATATTTTAGGGTACAGCTGGTGAAAAAGGAGAACTCGGTGCTCCTGGAGCTCCTGGGGAAAAGGTATGTTGGTTTGGTTTTTGATTGCTCTTTGTGGCTTTTTTATTTAAAATTGTATCACACAGAATGAGGGAAATGCATGGAATGGGTTTATAGTTCAGAGGTCAGTAAACTGCGGTCCTGCAGTGGCATGGACAGTCACCACTGTGTGACTTTGTAAATCACAATGTCACGTGTCTCCATGTGTTCTGAGACTGTGCCACACAGCAGGACTACTTAACTATGGCAGTGAGAATATGATCATCTGAACCTGGCATGCTCACTGCAGGCCCTGGTGTGAAAGCTCACTGACGGTCTTCCCAATAATGTTGCAACTCTGATAACGGTTGGGAGGCTTCTCAAATGCACCCTCATGCATGTCATGAAACAGAGCCTTAAAATATATTCACTGCAGACAAAACGCCTCATGAGATTGTGTAATGAAAAATGGAACAAATATCTGTCCATCAGATATCATCTTGTGGTACTTAGCTCATAAGAGGATGCTTTTCATATTTCTTCTCTAATAATGCACAGATGATTCTAAGTAACGAATTCACTGCAAAAGGCAACAGTGTTACAAGTTAGATGTTGTTCAAGTTGAGAAGCCAGTATGGTGGCTGCATACCTGTAACTCTAGAACTCCAGAGGCTGAAGTGGGAAGAGCATGAACCTTTAGCTTTTATATAGTCATAAAAAATTATATTCATATGTCAAACTATAATTATCTTATTTTCCACTACAGATACTAGCATTGATATGAATATGAAATTATTAAAGCTTTTACATGTTGATGTTAAGAAGATTCTTTTTACCAAAATAAGATTTGTATACATTTTGTGTGT